GCTTGCTTATCATGCGTCAGTTTTAAAAGAAAGTATTCCGTCTGACCATGACTTGCATGGCTAAATAACTCTCATGATGAATTCGGTTTCAGACATGGATAATTCTGATCTGGGTTACAATAAAGGCCAATCATATATGTAATAAAGGAAAAGTTTGTAGATAGTTGACAGGACCGTAAGTATTCAAATGTCAAAAATTGAATTTCCATGAATTACATCCTATGAGCTGTATTAATCCTGATCGCTTAATATGAATCATTAGGATTTGTGAGGGTATTTCTAATGTTGATTGGGTGACATTCATACTTAAATAATGGAAAGAATAATCAGTTTTCTAGAGGAAAGGCCGGAACCCAGAACTAATGATTTTAATATCATGTGCAGTGTATTCCACAGTGGTCAGCTTGATCAGCTTAGAGGCATAACCTGCGTATGTGGTCTAATGTAATTTTTGATACTTTTGTGCTGTTGTTTTAATCCATTATGACAGTCCATTAACCATCATTATTTACAGACATTTCTTAATTTACTTTCTAAATCTATCAAATCGTTTAAACTGTGATGAATAATCCAAGTAGTATTTGTTTTCGCTGATATGCACCAGCGACGGTTTATGAATATAGGATTATGAACAAGCGCATTTAGACAAAAATTTTCATCGTTTACCTATCTACTATTCCAAGCGTTTTACTTGGAATTGCTCTCGTGATCCCCGAATCCCTTTATTCACTTGAATACGAATCCTGTTTTGCTAATGACTGGCTACTTGACATATGTCAGCAGAAAACCCGATTATGTAGAATATTATCATATCATTTCAGTTAAAAATTGAAGACGCTTATGCTCAAGTCAACCAAATATTTGTATATATTCATAGGGAAAATGGCACGAATACTGATGTACCCAAGTGCAGAAGATTGACCCACTCATATGCTCAATTAGGTAACAATGCCTGAAAGAATCCTACGCTAATTTTTGTTCGGTATTTTCAAATATCAAAACTCCATATCTTTGAAATGGAACACGGCAACTTTGTTGCAAAATCCTTTCTTCGTATTTCTTATATATAAGTGTATGTAATCGTGAATTATACTTCGTTAGATAGGGTTATTACAGATGACCTCGCATCTTGAGATACTCATGTTTTATTTCGTTTTGATTACTGTTATATGTAAAGATGACTAAATATATGCAAAATTAAGGTATTTCTTTAGATGGAGTATGGAAAATTTGTCGTATTTCGATGATGTCAGGTGCAGTAACCACCAAATTCTCGTATTGGACAGTTCACTAATGCAGATACATTGTTACCATTAGTGTCACCATTTAAACTTTATCAAGTAAAATAAACTTTACGAAGAGGTACATAACATCGGACAGTTTTTAATAACGTAATTCTGTGAACCCAGCCATGTACAGTACCTTTGTTAGCATTGGGGGCGACAGTGAAAAAGGTTGGGAACCACTAAGCGTGGAAAGCAATTGGCCATACTACGTCTTTGCGACTTGAAATATCATCCCCAGCTCACGGAGGCGGCTTGTCTGGATTAAGTGAAGAAAGAAATTTAGCATAAACGTCAATGAACCTCAATCGCATTGCTGCAGGCCTTGGTGGAGTCGAAGGAGTCAGAGGGGCCTTTTAAGGAGACGCTCAAGGTCCCCAAGGAACTCCACCTGTTTTTGGTGATGGTGTGAGCAATCAAGAAGAAGCTTATTCAATCGGAACCAATTTTATTTTGGAATAAAAGTAGATATTACTTAGTTATGATAATTATGTAAAAGTACCATAATTATGTAAAATAAACAATATTATTAATTTATGTAATGTTTGTCTATGAAACATTTTATTTTTACATTACACAAATTCAAAATGTTAAATTTCAGTTGAAGTGTAAACTGCACTTTACACGATTTTGTTCAAAGTTTTTATTTATGTAATTGTTATTTTAGGGGTAACTTAAATGTTACAATACCCCCCCCCCGAAAGAAAATCCATGGCTTGTTAGAGGTCGAGTCGGTTGGGTTGGCGAATTAGTCGACCAGAACGCGAGGAGATTTGAAAGGGTTTATCTTCAGGATGTGAGACATGGGCAGGTGCATTTGAAGGAGGTACAGTGTGAGCTGGGTTATCGGCCAGAGGCGTGGTTGGTGTAGGTTCCTTTTCTTCCAGGTATGCAGGCTTTAAGCGGTCAATGGATACCCAGTCGCTCTTCCCACCAATGCTGAGACGGTATGCCTTGGGGTTACGCTCCAAGACAGCATATGGCCCGCGGTACGGGCGGGTGAGGGGTGACCCGTGAGCGTCATTTCTTACGAATACATATTTGCAGCTGTGGATCAGCTTGGGAAGGTATTGTGGAGGAGATGTTGAGTGCGTCTGAGTGCATGGTCGGTACTTCTCAACAGCATGGCGTAGTTTGGTGAGGTGCTCAGAATCTGTAGGGGTATCTAGACTCGGGAAGAACTCCCCTGGAACAGTGAGGGCTTCCCCAAACACCATTTCAGCAGGGGAAACTTGTAATCCCTCTTTTGGGGATGTTCGGATCCCGAGAAGAACCCAGGGAAGTTGAGCTTTCCAGTCTGATTTAGTGCAGCGCGCCATTAACGCTGCTTTCAGAGTACGATGGGACCGCTCCACCATACCGTTGGCTTCTGGGTTGTATGAGGTGTGATCCCATCAATTCTCCTAAAGATGTCCAAAGTTGAGATGTGAAGGCAGGTCCGCGGTCAGAGGTAATGTCGTCTGGAACGCCAAAACGACTGATCCATCCGTGTAATAGAGCTTCTGCACAGTCTCGGGCAGTGGTGTGTTGCATGGGAATTGCCTCCGGCCAGCGGGTGGAGCGCTCTGTAGCAATGAATAGATACTGAGTGCCGTCTGAAGGTGGAAGGGGTCCCACTACATCGACGTGGAGATGTCCAAACCGGCGCATGGGCTGCCGAAATTCTCCTGTGCCAGATTCAGTGTGACGACTTACTTTGCTCATCTGGCAGGCAACACAGCATCGAGCCCACTGTTTGATGTCTTTGTTCATTCCGTGCCAGATGAATTTATCCTTCATCAGACGAGCAGTTGTTCGTCCAGACGGGTGTGATAGACCATGGATGAGGTTGAAGATTTTTCGGCGGAAAGATTTTGGGATAAGGGGGCGTGGGCGACCTGTGCTTACATCACACAGAATGGTGCGGCCTTCGCCTCCAATGTGAACATCTTTCCACTGCAGGCTGGTGATGGCTGTGTGGTATTCTGTAGTCTCTGGGTCATCTTTTTGGGCTGCTGCTACTTCATTGTAGTCAATTCCGAGGTTTATAGAGTTTATTTCCACCCTTGATAGTGCGTCAGCTACAGGATTCATACTCCCTGGTGTATATTTGATAGAGCAGCCAAACTCGGCGATGCTGGAGAGTTGCCGCTGTTGTCTGTCCGACCAAGCATCACCAGGTTTGGAAAAAGCATGTACCAGTGGCTGGTGATCTGTGAGGATGGTGAATGCGCTGCCTTCTAAGAGATGTTTAAAGTGACGCACCGCAAGATAAACAGCGAGTAGTTCGCGGTCGAAAGTGCTGTATCTCACCTCTGCTTGACGTAGCTTTCTGGTCTGTTCAACGACTGCCCCAACAGCAATGGAGCTTGCGTCTGTGGTAAGGGTAAGTGGAATGCCTGGTGTGGGGAAGGTGAGAGTTGTAGCTGATGCAAGGGCAATCTTGGTGGTCTCGAACGCTTTTTGTTGCTCAGGTCCCCACTCCAATTTCTTTGGTTTGCCGGCAAGGGAGTTGTAAAGTGGTTCCATGATGTGTGCAATCTTTGAAAGGAAACAATGGTAGTAATTTACCATGCCAACAAATTCTTGGAGTCCTATGATAGTGGTTGGTGGGGGAAATCGTGAAACTGCGTCTACCTTACTTGGAAGGGGTGAGACGCCTGTTGGCGAAATCTTGTGCCCGAGAAATTCCACGGATGTGGCACCAAATTGACATTTGTCTTGACGCACCACCAGGCCGTTATTATGGAGTCGTTTTAACACGACCCGTAAGTGTTGGAGATGTTCGTTGGGGTCTCCTGAGAAGATGAGGATATCATCAACATAGCAGGCGCAAAAGGGAAGGTCTCCGAGAATGCCATCCATCATGCGTTGGAAGGTAGCCCCTGAAATTAAAGGTGTAATGACTGCTGTTTTGGGTATGTCTTCAGGGTATACTGGTACTTGAAAGTAGCCTTTCAGGAGGTCGAGTTTAGAGAAAACCTTGGCACCATGAAGGTTAGAGGTTAGGTCCGCCATGTTGGGAAGAGGATAGTGGTCTGGTTCTGTGATCAGGTTAAGACGCCTATAGTCACCACATGGTCGCCAGGTGCCTTCGGGTTTCCGCACAAGATGCAGAGGAGATGCCCAGGGACTTGATGCCTTTTGACAGATGCCCATCCGTTCCATTTCGGAGTAAGCTTGTTTAGCTGCTTGAAGCTTCTCTGGAGATAAACGCCTGAATTTTGAGTGTACCGGAGGGCCTGTCGTTTTGATGTAATGGAATATTCCATGTTTGGCTGGCTGTCCAGGCTGCTGACGGAGTTCTGGTCGAAAAACGTCTGGGTACTCTTTGCAGAGGCTGTCGTAAGGGGTATCTGCTCTCACAGTGCAGATTTCTGTGTACTGATGATTGGAACCTAGGGGTGTAGAGCAGAAGGTTGTTACATCCAATAGTCTACGATTGGCGACATCAACGAGTAGTCCGTGGTGCCCGAGGAAGTCTGCTCCCAGAAGAGGTGTCTTAACATCAGCAATGATGAAGTCCCAAGTGAAGCTGCGTCCGGCGGCTTGAATGGTATAGTCTGGATACCGTACATTGGATGGGGCTTCGGCTGCAACAAGTTTGACATTTGATGGTCGTGTCCAGGAACGAGTTTTGTTTTCTGCTGTGGCTGGGAACAGAGAACGGAATGCGCCTGTATCCACGAGGAATTTGCGACCAGATAGGGAGTCCGTAATAAAGAAGCCCGATGCTGAGTTGTCAAGTGCGTTGACGTTCCCGCGTCTCGGGTTCTGGGTTGCCACCTTAGCAGGGAGTGGTGGCCCCATTACACGTTTTTTGGCCACTGGCATCCAGGTAGGCACTTGTCGGTCCCTGCTCCGAACTTGTAGTGGTAATAACAAAATCCATGTGATGGTTGGGAAGAGGCACTTCCAGGTTTGTAGTGTCTTACCTGTGAGTTGGGTCGTCGCTTGTTAGCAGCATTGATGTCAGGGACGTCCTCGGCGGATGCAGAGTAGGTTGTGTCAGGTTTTCGAGATGCTCTGGCAGCATTGATGAGATTGTCTGCCTTCTTTATGAGATCGTTTATGGGACTGTCGTCGGCTTCATGCAGGGCAGATCTTACAGAGGGGGGAAGGCGCTGCAGCCACAGCTCCCGCATCAAGTCCACACGCCGTGGTTTGTTGGTGGTAGGGTCGAGGTCAGGGAGTGTAGCAAGAGCCTGATGGAGAGAGTGAACTCTTGTAGAAGGTAACTCTTCAAGTTTTCATATTCGACGTCTTGGTTCTGGTCCTGGTTGTCCAGCCATGCGGCAACACGAGGGAATAACTGCTCAGGGATTGCCTCCAACACATAGTCTGCCTTCGTTCGGGGGTCTGTGACTCTTCTCAGGCGAAACTGGATTTCTGCCCGCCGGAACCAGGATGTAGCTTCTTGTGGGCAAAAGGGGGGCAGCTTCACTGCTACGGCGTTGATGGAAGGAGTTTCGGCGTTTTCTTTCACTTCACTAGGATTTGTCTTCAGCGACATGGTCCGAGTGTAGGGGTCACCAATTGTGAGGAATCAAGAAGAAGCCTATTCAATCGAAACCAACTTTATTTTGGAATAAAAGTAGATATTACATAGTTATGATAATTATGTAAAAGTACCAACATAATTATGTAAAATAAACAATATTGTTAATTTATGTAATTGTCTCTATGAAGCATTTTATTTTTACATTACACAAATAACAAAATGTTAAATTTCAGTTGAAGTGTACACTGCACTTTACACGATTGTTTTGTTCAAAGTCTTTATTTATGTAATTGTTATTTTAGGGGTAACTTAAATGTTACAATGGCAGCTTGGGAAATCACGACCACGTGCAATGTGAAGCTGGTCGTGCCTCCCAAAGAAGCTGCCTCGACCTCGGTACTCATCTACGCCCGCTCGACCGAGGCGCTGGAAGACGCGAAGAGGATGGTAGAGCAGGTCACGACGCCGAAGACGCCCCCGACGATGCGGATGAAGAGGTCGTTGTTCGTGCCTCGGATGCTGCATAGGCAGGTCGTGGCCAAAGGCGAGGAGCTGATGGGAGCCAAGTTCGTGGTCCCGCCGGAGGGCACGAACCACCAGATGGTGCGAGTGTTCGCCCACACCGAAGAAGGCCTTCAGAAAGCCGTCGATCAGCTAGAGGCCTTGGTGGACACGAAGAAGGTCACCAAGGCGGCCGTTGTCTCGGAGAAGGTCCTCTCGGAAGTGGCTGCCGCGGCCGAGGAGGCGGAGCGCCGGTTCCATGTGCAGGTCCAGCTCCCCGAGGTCGGCCAAAGATTTAACCCGGTGGGAGTCAGGGCTTCACCTGGGACGTTCGCAGGGCGATGGCTTCCCTAGGGCTAACCCGGCCGGAGACGACTATGGGAGGTAGTTAAAAGCTGTGATGTGGCAATTAACCATGTCAGGCCATAATTCAAATGATACACAAGTCTGATCCTGTAACCTCAATGTCTGTAGTGTTATTACCAAAGGATTTTACATAACAAGATAACCAAGCTAGTTTCTTTTTGGACTTTATTCTGAACACACCTAACCAAAGTTGAAAACGCCTCCTTCATTTGGACGTTTTATTTATGGGCCGTATGCTAACCAGATGCTAAAAAATTCCGGTTGTGAGACCCTCAAATATTTGAAAGCAAAATATGACCCTTTGTCTATTCCACATTAAGCATATCGCAACGAAAAATCATAATATGCTTAGGCAACTACACGAAGTCTGCGTTGATGTAGGGTTATCGAGGCGCCGAAAAACAGAATCTATAGAATCATTTGGTAGAACTTGCGACCTTCAGAAACCCGTTAGCAGAAATGAAAAGACAAAATGATACGTTAACTGAAGGGGTCAGTGTTTACCGCTAAAGGCAAAGGAAGCAGATATTTAATGAAATGCAGAGGGAGATATCAAATAGAATTGCCTTTAAACAAAGGTCATCGAGGAGCGATTGTGTTGACATCCAAAAAATAATGTTTTCTCTTATAGTATTGATATCCATACCAATATTGCTAATGATAATACCGATGATGATATTGATAGAATAACAATGAAAAAATATAATAATGACAATGATGAATATCATAAACATTCGACCTTCGTAGCAATAACAATGATGAATCTTGCGGCCCATAATTATAATGATATTGAATGATGCAACGACACCAGACAAAATAGTAGCAAGAAGTCAGAGCAGTAGAGGACGGAGGCTGGCGTCGGAGTTCAGA